TCCTTTTTGAGACTTCCCGCGCCTCGCTCAGCCAGTGAGCGGGAACCGGTCTGTATGTGGGATCCGAACCCTCGGGCGGGAGCGCCGACGCGCTTCCCAAGCGGCGCACTATCGCCACCGGGCCGGCCCGCCACCGGGCCGGCCTGTAGTTTTTTAATGAACTCTTACCTAATCATTACTTTATCCCTCCCAATAACCTAAAATAATCATGTTATTCAACAGTTATTAAGCACTTACTATATACCTGGTACTATACGAGAGTCTGGGATACAAACACATGATCCTTGACTTCAAGGAGCTTCTAATGTATATAGAAAGCTGGAACAGTGATTATAAATATTTCACTGACTTATTAACAGTTCAGATAAGGTAGTGTGAACTCCAAAGGAAGGGATCCGTTTTCACTGGGATGATTAAGAATTAGATTCATGGAACATTTGGTATCTGTCTTGAAGAATCTGACCAGTTCATTCAATTCTGCTAATATTAAGTATCATTCATTCATTATATAGAAGATATTCTTAATTAGAAATAGAATTTTGGCATAGCTGTAGCTTTTCCCACTGTCCAGTAACCAAGGGCAAACTACGTGGGCTTTAAAAAAAAAAAAAAAAAATTTATTTCAATTACAAAAGAGCAGAAAACATCTACATGTATACTGTGTGTCAGGCACTATGCTATGTTTTCTTTTTTCTTTTTTTTTTTTTTTGCAGCTGGCAGGTATGGGAATCCAAACCCCTAACTTTGGTGTTACAATACAGTGCTCTAACCTACTCAGCTAACTGGCCAGTCACTGTGCTATCTTCTTTACATGCACTTTTAATGTTTTTAACAATTACCATTTTATTTTGCAGATATAGATACTAAAGGTCATAAAGGTTAAGTAACCCCATGTAACTGATAAGTGGCAGACCTAAAATACCCCAAAATGTGAAAAACAAAATAGAAAACACTGTAATGTAATGATTAAGAAAACTTGGTGGCTGGCCAATTAACTCAGCTGGTTAGAGCACAGTGTCGTAACACCAAGGTCAAGAGTTTGGATTACCATACCCACCAGTTGCCAAGAAAAAAAAAAAAAAACTTCACGTGAAATAGTCCAAAGTCTGAGCTCTACCCCTTAATAGGTATGGGAACTTGAGCAAGTTACATAATCTAAGCCTCAGATTCTTCTCATCCATAAAATGAGATGTGATTGTTAGGATTCAATGAGATAATGCATACAGTAGTTAGCACAGTGCCTGTTATATTGTAAATATTGAATATTAGCAATTAATAATAATCAAATTTTGACTTATTTGAAGAAACTATGGGAGACAAGTATCTTCCTACGTTAAAATAATCATTTCAATATGGTTGTTGAGATGGCATAGTTTCTTAGAGAGATAATTCAAAAGAAAGGCACCTATTGTCAGGTTTTTAAAATGTGAAAGAGAAAAGAAGCTCTTAGAAATTGCTTTTAGCAAGGAGAGAGAATATTTTTTAAAATGCAAAAAATATGAATGACTTCTGATATGCCTCTTCTAAC